ATCCAACTGTGCACTCAAAAAGTTTTTTAAAAAATTGATTAAATGAGTGATTGCCAGCAAAGAAGTCTTATTTATGTATTTAATGAAACTTGTCCGGCAAAAAAGATGTTTAGCCCTGACAGAACTGAAAACACTATGTGCATATGTGTGTGTGTTTGTGTGTGTGACAGCAAAAGAAAAAGAATTCTGTAACTAAGCAGTTTAACAAAGTGGTCTTACAGTAAGATTCTACCCTGCAAGTCTTTTTCTTGCCTTTCACTTAGAACAGGAATTTATCTTTATAGAGACAGGAAGTAGATTTGTGATTGAAGTATATTTAGTATAAAGGATTTCCAGCTGGTGAAACTCCCCCTACTGGTCACCTCCTCTGTAATTTATAGTCTTGGAGAGCTGTTCAGAGTACTGGGAGGGAGGTGCTGCGACTTGCCTCTAAATTTCCGTCAGAGTACGAAATTGAACTCACCAACTGCTTGACTTTTATACATATCCTTAAGGAAATAAAATGCCTCAGGAAAAAAAAAGTAAGATAAATAGTTTTGGAGAAAAAGCAATACTTCTTTTCCCATTAGGCAGTTTGATTTCCCAGTAGGCCTGACTAACTGGGCAAATCTGGATGATTTGAAAGAAATTAATTGTCTAGTACATTGAAAGCAAAGTCACCTAAAAGAAATTAGATAGAAAAAATTAGAACAGACCATACGATGGCAGTTTCTTAACTAAATTAGAAAATGAAATAACCTAAGTGCCTCAAGGATATAGAGAACTGTTTAACAGGATTGGAAGTTTAGGGAATTAGAATGGACCATCTGGGAGTGCAATGGCAAAACCAAACTCCTTGATTCTGGATGACTTGGAGTAGCTGTGCTTGAGATTAGTTTCCATTTCTGGAGGTAACATGGTAGCATCTACCAGGGTTGTAGCATCCACAGGTAGTAAATATTTTTTTTTTGGAAAACAGCAAGTGTGGTTGCTATTATGTTGTGCTATTATGGTGGTTGGACAGAGAACAAGCCCCAGCAAGCATTTTGTAATAAGATCAGACTAGAATCTGAATATGTCGGGCTTGGCTCCAGGAGCTAGCCTTTTGCTTTTTAGAACAAAGAGTTCTAATGGAAGTGGCAAAAACAGATTGACATTGATGGCAATGATAGATCCTTGGGATCAATGAGAAGACAGTAAAAGTTTAACTCCCTTCTCTGATGTCTGGTGTGGGCAGGCACTTTGCATATGATTTTTCTTCTATTCCATGATTTTGTCTCCTATAAATTATAACCCATCATAACTGATCTGTGATTCACGTACATTAATTAATTGCATGGTGATGGTGGTGGTGGTGGTGCTTAGGAGGAAGTGTGCCATGGAGAACCCCAAGGTCTTGTTGTGTTGGGGTTTGTCCTTTGTTCTTGAATTGGACCATGACATCAGGGAGATGATGACATGACTTGCAACTGAATTTGATTTGAGTGAGAGAGGGTTGTGCAAAGTCACCAGCCTCACTTTCTCCTCCAGAGTCATCTGCATCCAGTGGCCAGCTATTGATCAGGATGACTGGAGATGGCCCAGGATGCAGTGGGAGACTTTGGCCTTTTTAAGCCAAGGTTTTTTCATATTCTCACTTTGAACTATTATTCAGTTAATAGGCCAAAAAATTAACTAGATCAGAGGTTTAGACCTCTATACAGAATACTAAGGTTTTCTTTTCCTGAATGGTAGTTGAGTCAATTGAGATAAGAATCTTAAGGTTTTAATTTTCATAATTCTTATAAATTCATAAATAGCAGAGATAGATGAACCACATGTCAAGAGATCATGTACCACTCCCTCTCCTCCCAGAAAAATGGAGTCATTGGTAAGCCAGAGTCAGTTGTCTTAGACTGGTAAATGTCTTAGGGAGGCTTTTGATCTCTAGAGTGAGGGCTGGAGTAAAAGTGTAAACCTAGGGAAGGTCATGCCTCCCGGGCTACTTAGGAGAAAGGTATGGTTTGGAAAGAATTTTCCCTGTTCACATTCCTAAGATGGAGGTGTGAACTAGAAAACTGAATAGTCTTTATTTTGTTGTTATCAGTCAGTCAGGCAACAAGCATTTATTAAGGGCCTACTATATACTGTTCTCAGTGCTTTTTCTTTCCACCCTAAGCCTTCAAACTTTTTTTTGTGTATAGTTTTAATTTTTCTCAATGAATAGAAATCTATTTTCTTTTCTTACCTCTCCACCCCACCCCCTTCCCACCATAGAAAGGAGTGGGGTCAGGGGAACAAACCCTTCTACATAGATGCATAGTCAGACAAAACTACTTCCTATATTGGCCATGTAAAAAAAAAATCCACCACACTTTGTATTCTAAGTCCATCACCTATCTCTCTATGAGGAGGTAGGTAGCATGTTTCATCAGGAGTCCTGTGGAATTGTGCTAAATTTCCAAACATTGCCAAACAAAGACACCTGCTGCTTACAGGGATTTACATGGCAATACGAAAAACTGATTGTAAACTTAGACATTTCACTGCTCACTCAGTAGCAAAGTTATATAATGAATTTCAACCCCTCCTCTGGGGCTACCTCCCCAACTTGCACTAGAACTTGAAGATTGGATCCCCACTCCTCTAGGATTGTAGAGTAGGGGTAATACTGTGAAACTTCACTTTTAACACTGTAGCTCCTTGAGCCCTTATCAGTGTGCTTCTCCTTAACAATTAATCATTAGTCTCAATTAGCTCTTATCAAAGGCTAAGATAGCATAGAAACGACAGTTATTACAAAACATTCTCCCCAAAACCTAGGGTACTTCCACAAGTAAACACAGCATCCATGAGAAGAATGGACTCAGACTTAAAGGGCAATGGAAGGGAGACATACGTATGGAACATGTGTAGCAAAGGGACAAATCACTATTCTTAGTTCAGGAAGGCTTTTCCCGAGTTCATAGCCAGCATTCTTCTGTGGTACAAGAAGTCATACTTCCTGAAGCTGCTTCCTTCCTTGACTTCCTTCACTCCTAACTAGATACACTGCCTCTCATTTGTCCTGTGTCTCTGGTGATATGGTCAGTGGTGAGGTGGGGGGAGTGAGGAGTATAACAACCCTCTTTTCTCCACCTCTTCTGCTCTCTGATAGAGGCACAAGGATCTGCCTTCACAAAATATTTCCAACCTTGAATCTTCCCTCAATGGATTGCTTTATTCCAAGACTGGCTTGGTGTTTTTCTACATAGACCCTAGAGTTGTGACTGATCCTCTCGGCCAATCACATTGCTTTCTTTCTTTACCTAATTGGAGAGAAGTTTGCATTTGATACAGTGATCAGGGCTTAATCCTATCTTGTTTACTCATTAAAATGTGGTCATATGTGATTACATTGTTGTAGATTTATAGGAAAATTCTTTAATACCTATCTACTTTTTAGGTTTATTGATTGATTGATTCTATGATCCAAAGAGGCTTTGGCACCTAATTAAGGTATCAGTGCTTAGGCATATCTTATTTATAGATTTGTTATCTGTCTCCATTTAAGTTGGGCTTGGTCTTTTTTTTTTTCCTTCCTTAAAATGTATTGAAACCATCCTTAGACTTGGTTCAGAAGACTAAAAGTCCAGGCTATTGACATCACTTCCCTGTCACCTCAGTATCCATCAGCCACTAGGAGCTTTAAGAATTCTCTGATGTTTGGTTGGCAACCTCCAAAACTGAACTTTTTAAAATTTAGATTTATATTAGATGACTTAGGGGAAAGTAGTCTACGAATGGCATAGTTGCTCTGTGTTCTGGGTAGTAATTGATAGACAACGGCATCACGTTTTTGTATCTATTAGATTAAAAGTGAAAATCACGTTATATTTTTCTCTGAAAACAACCAGCATGAATGCCAAAATTGAGGGGGTCAGGGGAGGCAGTATGATTAGTAGCATGAGATTCTGTCTTTCTGAACCTTGATCCAAGTAGAAATACTTGTATGCTAATGTGTTGTTTTTGATAGACTTCAGCTAAAATGTACTATAGAATTTTTTTCTACTTTTGGAAGGCAACTTTTCATATTCTCCTCTAAGTCTTTTTATGATGTGAACTTTCATGTAGATGCTGTTTATTCATTTGAAGTTTATTGTGGTATATTGTATAAGCTGTTGGCCTAAACCTATTTTCTGCCTATTTTTTTCTTATTTAATCAGTTCTACTGATCTTTTTTCTTTTTTTCTTTTTTGCCTTTTAACCAGTATCAAATGGTTTTGATGATTACTTCTTTATAATCTCCTTTGAGATTTGATTTTGCTAGACCTCCTTCATTCCTATTTTTATAATATCATTTTTCTTGAAATTACTGATCTTTTGTTCTCCAAATGAATTTTGTTATTATTGTGACCAGTTGTATAAAGTAACTGTTTGCAGTTTGTCATAACACATGATCTGAGAATTAATTCAAGTCATGTTGTCATTTTTATTATTTTGGCCAAAGCCCAACCATAAATAATGAATATTTATTGAATTATTTTTCTTCTTTTGTTTCTATAAAGAGTCTTTTGTTCTGAAACTCAGAGGTACTGTGTTTGAGTCTGGCCTCTGACACATATTGACTGTATAACCCTGGGTGAGTCACTTAACTTCTCAGTACTGGAGACCACTCAAAAACATTAAATTGCATATAGCTGCTGATCTTCATTGGTTGAGGGGGCTTTCTCACCAGAACTTTTGACATCAAAGAAATCACAGAATCTTAAATGAAGTCCTTAGTATTTTTTGGTAGGTTAAAATCCAAATATTTTACACATTTGGTAGTCATCTTGAAGGGAATTTCTCTTTCAATTATTTTCTCTTGATTTTTTATAGCGCCATGTAGAAATGCTGAAGATTTTTGTAGATTAATTTATCTTGCTACTTTACTGCTTATATGATTTTGTTGAATTATTCATAATATCGAAGGTTTTCATTATTCCTAACATATTCTTTACATTTTCATTCATATTAGGCTTTCCCACTCATCCAAAATGTCAAGTTCTCTCAGATTTTACCTTGAAGTGTGACTAGTGACTGCCAAAGGCGGCAGTTTTCTATCATGGTGTCAGAGAGTTTCTGTTTCAGATTTTTTATTTTGGCACACAATTCCACTTTTGGATTAAAGACTCTTCATCATCACTGCTGCTTTCAGTGGGCAGAAAGGCAGTTCCAGAAGAAAGTTCTCTCTTTCAAAAAAAAAAAAAGGAAGGAAAGGAAAGAGTATTAAAGAAACATGTGACATATTTTTAGGTTTTATCAAAATATGCCAATGCTTCATGTCCCTAGTCCCATTATCTGTGAATTTGCCTTTTACCCATCTCTTACTTGCTGTGTGACCATGGGTAAATCTCTTAACTTCTCTAAGCCTTATTGGTAAAATGGGGATAAGACTTACAGTACTTACCTCTTAGGACAGTTGTGAGGATCAAATAGAACATGTAAAATGCTTTCCAAACTTTAAACAAGATATAAGACTTAGTTATTGGTTTTTATGTCAGAAATAGAACAATGGTATAACCTTTTGCACAACTCAACCTTTTGTTTTTAGTGTAATGTAAGTGTACATGTAACTGACAAATCCATACCAATTTTTTAAACCTCAAAGAAGTGGTGCTTCCTATATTTCTTTATGATGCATGTCCTATTATTGTGGATACTCCCTCCACCAACACATGTAGCAACCCCACTAAAGCTTTTGATAGAGAGTGTTCAAGACCTGGCCAGTGGTTAACTGGTAATGAGTCTTTCCCAATTTCCTGAGGCTGTTTCTTGTATGACAGACATATCCAACATTTTATGTTAAGAGGGGAAAATATTAAATATAAACATAAGCATAATCTCCTTAGTCTCTGTTTCCTATAAAGACTAGCAAGCAGGTTCTGAAGAAATGAGTCACTCTTACTAACCACTTTTGTGTATGAATCTCAGTAAAAGTATATATGGCCTATGCATTCTGGAAATCTTTCATCCAGCTCCAAAAACATTAATAACAGTACTTGAGTTTATACTTCCTAGGCTGAGGAAAGGAATTCAGAAAGGATGAAAGAATCAGAAAAGGGAAAGTACAATTATAAATGAAATGGGTACTATAGTTGTACATGTCTGTTTAGCTTTACAAATGGATTTAAAAAATAACAACTAAAGTTATCCCTTCTGCATTGTGGAGGTTAGAGGAGCAGTACCTTTGTGATCTAGATAATACATGTAAAATTTTGTGGCCTCCAATCATACCAGAGAAGAAGTCTTCCAGCCTCATGGATTTCCTTCTCTTTTTTTCTTGAAAATATGCAATACCATACATATACTTTATACATTTCTGAGTTTCTAAAACTTTTTCTGTGTCATCTGCTGGTTTTTGTGCATCAGCTGAAGCTTCTGCAAAACTCCCCCAAAGTTCCCATTTAATTTCTTATGCTGACCTTCGATATATTGAAACCACGGTGGGGAAAGCTGCTGTGTAGAAGAGTTAACTGTACTTTCAATTGCTTCATGCAGATGAAGGTTGGAGGTGTTGGATGAGTCAGAGAATTTGATAAGACTCTGGTAAAAATGCATGATTGGTTATTAGGAAAAATGCAATGCAAAGAGGGACGAATGAGTAGAAAGAAGAAAGAAATAAAATGGAAAAGACTGGTTACTCTCCTTTTAACTTAATTTATTTGCTCCTTCCATTAGGGATTAGAAAAGAATGTGTCTCTCCTATTTATTAGTATATAATTGCATGCGCATGCTTATTGGAATTTTTTCCCCTCCCTACCAGTGATTTTATTGATGTAGAGAAAGATGTAGGGTGAGAAAACTCTCTTCTGTTACAGTTAGCAGCTGTTCTATAATTTATAGCGTTAGAAAGTTGCTACTCAGAATCATATAGTCAGCGTGTCAGAGGCTGGATTTGAACTCAGTTCTTCATGATTTCAAGGTCAGCTTCCTATCTAAGCTTCCTCTCATGCCTACAGATTTAAAATATTTTTAATTTTTTTTCGAATAATAAGCATTTCTTCTCTGTCTTTTCCACACTCCCCCAACTGAAAAGAGGAAAGAAAAAGAAAAACCTTGTAACACATATTGCATCTATGTTTTAAAACAATACAATAAAGTATGGATTGGTTAGCTGTGATATTGCCAGAAAGTGTCTCTAAAGAAATAGTAAGTAGTGTGCAGGTTGATGGGCATTTAGGCAAGCTGATAGGTTTTTCAAATCTCTCTGTAAAGGTCACACAAGTAGTCATCAAATAATGATGGTGACAACGAAGGTGATGTAGTTACTTCTTTTCTTTATCTAGCATAATACTGATGCACATCTGTTAGACTGTTAACAACTATAGGCCTGGGACTGTGTATTACTCATCTTCATCTTGAATGAATAAATAAATGAAGAGATGTATAGGTCTACTGAACAGTCACATGAAAGCTTTGAAACTATTAATGACTATGTAATTATTGCATGTTATTGAATTCATAAATGCAAATCTTTAAAATATTCCCATATTTGTAAACCATGAATCCTTCCAGTACACCTCTAAGTGGGTTCCTGATGCTCTATGCCCAGGACAATAGCTTCTGATTTTTCACTTTCATTGCTGAAGACTGTTGAAGATGAAGGATTTACCAGTGTGTCCATTAAAGGGGTTTCCAGTTGATTCAGTATGTTAGCAGGAGAAGAGTCCTGTAGGGACTTTTTTCTTTTTGTACTCTTTGTTATCTGTTCCTGAAAGACGTAGTTTAACAGTGTTTATTACATTTAATTTCATAGTTCACGTGATATCTAGAAACAAGGGGGGAAATGTTTAAATTTCATTAAATTACTTTGAAAAACTAAAAAGGAACTAAATTCCAATTTATGTCACCATCTATACTCCTTATTTAATTTCTTGTAAATGTATCTCGACACCTACTATGTGCTTGCAACATAGTAGGCAACTTAAAACATGCTTGTTGATTGATCACTTGTCTGAATCTAGCTTTTATTATATGGTAACATATATACAGTGCCATGTTAAAAAAAACTGAAGGCAGAGTATTGGCATGGCTACTATGTAGCTGTATGATAATGGACCATTTGTTTAATATGTCTGCTTCATTTTCTGAAGTGGATAAAAATACCTGCTCTATGTCACAGGGATAATAAGAAGAAAGCAGTTGGTAAGCCATAAAGTAGTATTTACATTTGAGTTTCTCTTAGGGACAGTTCTTATTTTAAGAAGGACTCAGGCTCAGTATTTTCATATATCAATGCTTAAATGTCCTATGGCACTAATGGCCAAGTGGATAGAGTGCTGGCCCTGGAGTCAGGAAGACCTAACTTCATATCTAGTCTCAGATACTTACTAGCTGTGTGACTCTGTGCCCTAAATGGGGATAATAATAACAACATTTAGCTCGAAGGGTTATTGTCAGGATCAAATGAGGTAATATCTATAAAAAGCAGTTGGCACAATGCCTGGTACATAAGTAGGTGCTATGTAAATGCTTATTCTCTCCTTACCCCTCTCCTCTGCCTATAGCAAATAAATGAGTTTCTTTATCAATCAACCAATAAGCATTCGTTAAGACCTTCTGTATTCCAGGTATGGGGCCAGGTGCAGAGATGATAACAGCTAACATTTATATAAATAACGATAATAGCTAACACTTACTATGTATGGGGCATTGTGGTAAGTGCTTTGCAATTATTATCTCATTTGATCCTCACAACAACCTTGGAAGGTAGGTGCTATTATTATCCTCATTTTCAGTTGAGGAAACTGAGGCAAAAAGAGGTTAAGTGACTTGCCTAAAGTCACACAGCTAGTAAGTATCTGAGGATGGATTTGAATTCTTCCTAACTTCAGGCCCAGCACTATGCACTGCAATACCTAGCTGATTTCCAAATACAAAAGTGAATAAGTCTTTGCCATCAAAGACCTTACATTCTGTTAGGAGAATGTATGTTCTCAGCTAGGGAAATACAGGTTACATGAAGAAAGAAATACATACTGATTTAGTGGGGATGAGGGACACTAACATCTGGGGGAATCAGGATAAACCTCTTGAAGGAGATGATTCTAGAGCTAACCTCAAAGGTAACCAGGATTTTTAAAGAGGCAGGTGAAGAGGAAGATCATTCAAGGCATCAGGGATAGCCTGTACAAAGGCATCGAATCAAGAGGTGGCACTTTATGTTTGAAGAAAGCAACAAGAAGTTCAATTTGGGTGTGAGGAGTGTATCAGCCTGAAAGATAGGTTTGAGCAATTTTGGGAACAGTTTTGAAAGCCAAAGAGAGGAGTTTGTATTTTAACTTTAAGACAATGAAGAGCTATTGAAGTATATTGAGACAAGGAATGACACAATCAGACCTGAACTTTAGGAAAATCACTTTGTTGGAATGTGGTTTGGAAGGGGGGGAAGGGAGCTAGCTACAGGAGGCCAATTAGGAAGCTATTATAATAGTCCAGGTGAAAGGTAGACTAGGATGGCTGTGGTAGTCAGTCAGTGTTACTTAATTACTCTGTACAAGGCACCCTACTAAGCCTTGGGAATATAAAGAAAGGCAAAAGAAAATTTCTGCTCTTTAGGAGTTTGCAATCCAATTGGGGAGATAAAAAGCAAAAAACTATGTACAATTTATATCCATGATAAACTGGAGATGATCAAGAAAGGGATTTGTTGTTGTTCAGCCTTTTTCGGTTGCATCTGACTCTTTGTGACCGTACTTGGGGTTTTCTGGTAAAGCTAACTAGAGTGGTTTGCCATTGCTCATTTTACAGATGAGAAACTGAAGCAAACAGAGTTAAGTGACTTGCCCAGGGTCACACAGCTAGTAAGTGCCTGAGGCTGTATTCAGAACTCAGGTATTTCTGATTAGAGGCCCAGTGCTCTATCCACTATGTCACTTAGCTGCCCCAGTGGAGGGAAGGCACTAGAATTAAAGGAGATCAGGAAAGCTTCTTGTAGAAAATGGCATATTAGCTGAAATTTGAAGGAATCCAGGGAAATTAGGAGGCTGAAATGAGGAGGGAAAGAAGTCCAGGAATGAGGGACAGGCAGTGAAAATGCTTGTTCAGGAGGTGGAATGTTTTGTTTTATGAGCAGCAAGGGGGTTAGTGTGACTGAATTGCAGAGACTTGAGGGGAATGAAAGATGTAAGGTGTAAAAGAACTGGAAAGGTAGGGAGGGGATAGGTTTTAAAGGGCTTTGAATGCCAAACAGATGATTTTATATTTGATCTTGGAGGTGACAGAAAGCCACTGGACTTTAATGAGTGGGTAACATGGTCAGACCTGCACTTTAGGAAGATCACTTTGGTAGCTGAATGGAGGATGGACTGGAGTGGGGAAAGATGGGAATGGCTGGGAGACCAACCAGCAGGCTATTTCAGTAATCTAGTCTTGAGGTGATAAGGGCTGCCATCAGGATGGTGACAGCATCAGAAAAAAGAAGAGAAGGTATATGAGATATTATGATGGTAAAACTGACAGGTCTTGGCAGTAGACAGGATTTGAGGGTGAGGTGTGGGGTGAGAGATAGTGATGACACTGAGGTTGTGAGCCTGGTGATGAGAGTATGGTAGTACCCTTAAGAGAAATAGGAAAGTTAGGAAAAGGGGAAGTTAATAGGAAATAAGTTAGGTGGAAAGTTAGTAAGTTCAGTTTTGGATAGGTTGAGTTTGAGATGTCTACAAGATATCTAGTTCAATTAGTGTACAAGATGTCTAGTTAAAGATGTCCAATAAGTAGTTAAAGATGTGAAATACGGAAGTCAGCAGAGAAGTTAGGGCTAGATAAGAAGATTTGAGAATCATCAGCACAGACCTGATAACAGAATCAATGGGAGCTGATGAGATCATGAAGTGAAATAATATAGAGGGAGAAGAGAAAAGAGACCATGACAGAGCCTTTTGGGACATCTATGGTTATTAGGCATGACCTAGATGAAGCTTGAGCGAAAGAGACTGAGGAGGAATGGTCAAACAAGTAATCTGATAATGTCAGACAATGGTCAGAGAAGAACCAGGAGAGAACAATGTCATAAAAGCCAGAGAGAAGAGAGCAGCAAGAAGGTAATTAACAGATTAGAGAGGTCAAGATGGCCATTAAATTTGGCAATTCAGCACTTACTGCAGTGCCAGGTACACAGCAGATACTTAATAAATATTTATTGACAGACTGAAATAGAGAAAAGGAAGGTGAAAAGGAGGAAGAAGAGAAAGAAAAGGGGGAAGGAAGGAAAGAAGGAAGGTAGAAAGAAAGAAAAAAGGAAAGAAGGAAGAAAGAAAGGAAGACAGGAAGAAAGGAAGGAAGGAAGGAAGGAAGGAAGGAAAAGGAAGGAAGGAAGGAAGGGAGGGAGGGAGGAAGGAAGGAAGGGAGGGAGGAAGGAAGGAAGGAAGGAAGGAAGGAAGCTGCATCACCCAATTGGAACTGGTTGTTGGGTCCCCAGTGGGGCAGCTACTAATACTCACAGATTGTGGATTGTTGTTTGTTCTAGAAGAGGACCATGGATGTTGGGAAGGTGATATCATGACTTGCAAGTAAATTGGATTTAAGTGAGGCAGGGTTGTGCAAAGTCACCAGCCTCATTCTTTCCTCTGGAGCCATCTGGGTCCAGTGGCAAGATATAGATCAGGACACCTGGAGATGACCCCAGATGCAGTAAGAGACATTGGCCTTTTTAAGCTAAGGTCTTTCCCAGGTCTCAGTTTGTCAAAGGCAATGCCCATTCAGTGATTAAGACTAGGTGATAAATGAGGCAAAGAATGATCTCTTTTACCTAGTGAAAAAAAAAATGAATCTGGGAGGAGAAGTCTCTCAGGATTTCTGACCAAAACAGAAACAACTGTTATTTACATTCAATCTGTCATGCCACCTCCTTCTGCCCCGCATCCCCAAACTCTGTTCTTTATCTTCACCATGACCTCTAATCCCTCAATCCCTTAGTTCTTTCCAGGTTACCTCCCTCCCTTCCCCATATTGACTGCTTAGTGAACCAGTTGAACTCTAAGAGATCCTCTTCTCTTGAACCCCTTCATCCTTTTTCCTATTTCCAATCCTTGCCCTGCCAAATCTGCTACCTTTACTCCTGCTCATATGCTACTGAATGAAGCTGGAAAAAAAAAACTCACTCCACTACGAATTATGATACACAATTTCACCTGGACCCTCATTGCTTCATGGCAATCCTTCTATACCTCACTAATTGCCTCACTATCCACTTACCACAGCAGCTCTTCTAAACATTTTCATCCTTCCTCAAACCTTCCATATCTTTTCCCCTCCCTACCCTCTCAGCTGAGAGCTTTGTCTCATATTTGTCACTCATACTTACAGAGACCATTTGCTATGAAGCCCTTTTTCTCCCCTCTCCCTCAGTTCATATCACTCAGATGCCTTCTGCCACTATCTCCTTCACCCCATGTCACACAAAGAGTGGCCCTACATCTTACCAAGGCAAACACCTCTACATGCACCAACAATCCCATTCCAGAAAATTGTCCCCCTTATTGTCCCTTTACTTTTTTTCTTCAATCTCTCCCTGTCTACTGTCTCTTTCCCCACTGCCTACAAACGTGCTTATGACTTCTTTATCCTCAAAAAATCATCACTTGATTCATCCATCCATATCACCTATCATCTCATGTCTCTTCACCCTTTTGTAGCTAAACTCCTTGAGAAGACCACCTATCCTAGGGGGCTCTACTTCCTTTCCTCTCACTGTATTCTTACTCCTCTACAATCTGATCATTCAACCAAAACTGCTGTCTCCACAGTTACTAACAATTTCGTGATTCAGTTGATCTGTCAATTATTGTTGTTATTGTTTGCTTGTTGTTGTTTGTTCTTTGTTCTTGAAGAGGACCATAACATGGGGAAAGTGATGTCATGACTTGCAAGTGAATTTCACAGTTCCTAAACATAAAAGTGGAGCACATGCGGGTGATGACAAGATCAAGGGTATGGCCATCTCTGTGAGTGGCTGAAGTGAGGTGGAGGAATAGTTCATGGGAAATAAACAAGTTGAATAACTGAAAGACAGGAGTGTTTGGGGAAGTATCAATATGTATGTTGAAGTTCCCCAGTATGAAGGCAGAAGTTAAGGAGAGAGGAAAAGATGGTGAAGCAGTCACTGAACTCACTGAGGAAAGAAGGGGAATGTCCTGGAGGCTGTTACACAACAGCTACTAGAATTTGGATTGGGTAATAGATGTGGATTGAATGAACTTCAAAGACAGAGACATTCCTGAATGATGGTGGTAGAGAAGGAACCTGGAAGTGGCAATGGAGAAAAAGGAATATTCTAAATTCCCCTTCTAGATCAGTGGGTCAGGGAAAACAAGTGAATAAGTGTTGGAAAGGGTGGTCAGGGAGGCTGCTTCACCAGAAAAAAGTCAGGTCTCAGTGAGGAGAAAGAAGGGTATATATGCTAGCGAGTTTGATGAAGTGGAATTGATATGACTGGGCTCTAATTTGTGAATTTGCTGACATCTCTTTTTTCCTGTTGTCAGTTCATTATTAGTAGTAGCCAAAGGGTCCACTTGTCCATAAAACTGCCTTTATGGTACTTAGTGTAAGAAAATAACTCTTTGAAATTAATGCCTCTACCATGTTCATACACCAATCACTGTGAAGTTACTTAGGCAGGATAAGTTCATTGATAAACTGCTGCAGAATTAAAATTTTATCAAAACTAACATAAACCAACCTGTTCTTGATCAATTTCCCTCTCTTCATTCTTTGAGCTTAGTGTTTCAATTTGTTTTCTTTTTCCTTTTTGAAGCCCTTGTATTTCTGTCTTTTCATTTCCTTCTAAGATCTTCTGAATAATCTGAACCAACTCTTGAGGATCATCTGAAATGGGATTGTGGAGAAAGGGAAATGGCGAGTGCAGATGATGCTATCTGCAGGTAGTCAAAGCCACCAAAATGTTTGTGGGAAGGAAAAGTGAAACAATGCTTCATAATGTCACTCACCACTCATGCAAATTACTTTTGCTAACTGTTTCTCTGTCTTTTTCTCTTCTGCTGGCCAACTTACTAACACATTTTCATTTGCTTTTAGTAGACTTGCAACTTCTCTGTCATCACTGGGAAGGTCCTGTATCCATGAAGTCTCTCCTTCACGTAGGGAGTTGTCATTTGTGAAATCAAAGAGTGTAAACTTTTTCATCTTCGTAAATTTCTTTTGTCAGAGAGTTGTGAATAAATCTAAAAAAAAAAAAAGAAACAGTACACATCTATGCATTCCTAGTGACTTGGGAGATAATTTCTCAGCCTTCAGGAAAATATAAAATGAATCATATCAGATCTAGCTAAGAGCAAGATTTGCAATATGAGGTACCAATCAATAATAACTGTTCTGAGGTTTATTGCTTAGCTACACTGAAGAGCTGGGTTTAAGGAATTTTCCTAGGAGGAGTTAAAAAAAAACATAATGAATCATACTGGAGGAAGCTAAGGAAGAAACCGTTAAAGCCAAGAGTCTATTTCATGACATTCTTAATGAATTCCTAATTTTTTGTTGTTGTTGTTCATTTGTTCTGGTTGTATCTGACTCTTCATGACCCCATTTGGGGTTTTCTTGGCAAAGCTGCTGGAGTGGTTTGTCATTTCCTTCTCCAGCTCATTTTACAGATGAGAAAATTTAGGCAAATAAGGTTAAATGACTTGCCCAGGATCACACAGTTAAGTGTCTGAGACAAGTTTTAGAGATTGATAAAATGGTAACTGTAGACAGGAACTACTCTTCTTCTTGGAGAGAGGGAGGGCATAAATGCATTTCACACCCATGCTTGTTGTTCATGTATGTAGGAAATCAGATCAGAAAGGTTAGAAGTAGAATCACAGAACAATAGAGATAGAAGGGACATTGAGAGATTTGTGTAAATGGTTAAGGGAACTGGAGGGAAGAGTGAATGATTTTGTAAAGCTAGTGCCCTATATAGCATTGCTTAGAAGGAACTGATCAGTTGGCTCTTTTCACTGGAAAGTCCTTTTAAGAGATTTGTGTTCCATATAAAGTTTTAGAAGATAATTGGATAATTGGTGTGTGTGTGTGTGTGTGTGTGTTTTACATACATAAATGTTTTAGGAATGTTCTTGCCAAAACTGCTTATTGTCAGTCTTTCTTAAAAATAACCTTTAGGTTTTCAGATATAGATATAAATGGTCAGCTAGGTGGTACAGTGGTTAGAGCACCAGACTTGGAATTAGAACTTATCTTCATGAATTCAAATCTGGCCTTGGACACTTACTAGCTGTGTAACCCTGGGCAAGTCACTTCACCCTGTTTGCCTCAGTTCCTCAATCTGCAAAATGAGGTAGAGAAGGAAATGGCAAACCACTTCAATATTTTTGCCAAGAAGACCCCCAAAATGGGGGCACAAAGAGTTGGACACAGCTGAAATGACTCAACAACAACAAAAATATATAATAATATCTCAGAGAATGTAATGTTTGGGCCATTACTAAAAATAGAGCTGGCAAGGACAACCTCCAATGTCCTAGAGGAATATTGCTTATGTCTGCTGAATTTGCATTCCATAGCTCTTTGCAAAAAGGCACTTACTAAAGAGTCCAGTAATGAAATCCTAGTAGGATCATAGATTTAGAGCTAGAATTATAGAGGTCACCTTGTCCTACCCACCTCACTATACAGATATTGAAATAAAGGCCACTAAGGGATGAATTCACTATCCCAAACTCAACCTTGGCAGAGGTGGGATTCAAAAGTACTCACAGACCTCAGTTCAAATTCTCCCTTTGACCTCTACCAGCCATGCAGCCATGGGAAAATCACTTAACTTTTCCAAGCAATCATTTTCATATCTCTAAAATGGGAATAAGAATACCTTTAATATCTGACCATGTTACCCCCTTCCCCTATTCAATAAACTACAGTGGCTCTCTATTGCTTCCAGGAACAAATGTAAAATCCTCTGTTTGATGTTCAAAGCTCTTCACAACCTGGACCCCTCCTATCTTTCTAGTTTTTTTATACCTTACTCTCCTCTACATACTATGAGATCTAATGGCACTAGCCTCCTTGCTATTCCTCACATAAAACACTCTTTCTCCTGACTCCTGGCATTTTCACTGACTTTCCTTCAGGGCTGAAATGTTCTGTCAAATCCCAATTTGTTACAGAGTCTGTTCTAAGAAAGAGACAAATGAAATTAGGGTACATATGTTCATGGTTTAATTTCTCTCAAGCTGTCTTGACATGTATTACATGGGAGTGCAGTCTAAAACTGGGCCACCCCTAAAGGGGCCAGTTCAGAACTGGCTCAATTTGGGATTTGGGGGTGTAGGGTTATATGCCCTTTAAAGAGTAGGTGTTCCCAAGGGGTGACAATCAACTCTGATTGGTCATAACACTGGGATGTGGGTTATATTAAAATGAGGTATTGGTGATTTAGGTCACTTAATCCTGACTTGTTCTATCAGACCACCCCCAGTCTCGGTTATATAGGCAAGAAGAATCTGCCTCCACTCAAGCCTGAGTAGGATAAAATCAATTCAAGCCTGGGTTGAAGTTTGACCAGTCTGAGAAGATTCAATGCAATCACATTATCAGTAATGTCCTTCTGAAGAACTTTGGAGCAGAAGTGGGGCTGGAAGCTCTGAGTCTCCAAGAGACAGATTGCCACAGCTCTCCATCCTCATCTTTGCCTCCTGGCTTTCCAGGCTTCCTCCAAGTCCCATCTTCTATAGGAAACCTTTCCCATTCCCTCTTATAGCTTGTTTGTATATATTTATTTGCTTGTTGTCTTCCCCATTAGATTGTGAGCTCCTCATGCTGTCTTTTGCCTCTTTTTATATCCCCAGAGCTTAGCACAATGCCTGGCATATAAACAGAGGCACTTAATAAATGTTTATTGACTGACTGTCCCAGGGTGGTGGCAGTATCAGAGGAGAGAAAAGGCAATTTAAGTGATATTGCAAAGGTGAAATTTGTTAACCTTGGCCACAGACTGGATATGGAGGGTGAGAGACAGTGAGGAGTTGAGGATGACTAGCTTTGAACTTGGGGGACTGGGGAAGATGATGCCCTTGACAATATTGGGCAAGTTTAGAGGGAGAGGGCAAAGAGATTAGGGCAATATAGGTAGATTTAGAGAACCATCAGCATAGAGATGAAAATGAAATTCATGGGAGCTAATGAGATCACCAAGTGAAATTGTATAAAGGGAAAAGTAAAGAGGGCTCAAGGACAGAACCCTGTGGAGTACCTATGGTTAGAGGGCATAACCTGGATGAGGCCTGGCAAAAGAAAATGATGAGTGGTCTGATAGTAGGAGAACCAGGAGAGAATAGTGTGTTGAAAACCTAGAGAGAAAAGAATATTAAGGAGAAGAGAGTGATTAACAGTGTCAGTGCAGAAAGGTCTAGGAGAATGAGAATTGAGTATAGGCCATTGGATCTGGCAATTAGGAGATCACTGTGTTGAGGTTTAGAGGTTTAGGGGTGCTAGGACCCCAAAATGACAATAAGTGGCTCCTGCCTGAAAGAATTCGACCCAAGCCTTCTTTCAGCCAAAGACAAAGTTTATTAAAGATCCACCATATTGGCTAGACTCTTAAGGAGTCTGAACATTTGTGAGCTATTGGCTAGATTATAAAAATCTGAGCCCTTGGCTAAATTCTTAAGGAATCTGAGCACCTTAAATGAGACAAGATAAATCTTGTATACAGAAAGGCTTTGGGAGGCATCTAGGAGTGGCCAAGTAGTCTGGGATGACTAGAGGAGGAGTCTAAGGAAGATCTGGATGGGAGTGGCCAGTAAACTGGGGTGAACAGAACACCAGGGACCTGTACCTTGTGGCCAAGGGAGAATGGAGTCTAGACAGATTAAAGGTGGGAAGTGGCCAGGGGCAATGGGGAGGTAACAGAAAAGAATTGGGAGATTGGGTGTAGCCACAGTGAAAGGCCAGTTGAGTGGATTACAGCCTCAGGCAAACACCAGAGATTTGGGAAAAGTCCAAGGATTTTCTTTTTTTTGGGGTCCAGATCCCAAACACATGGTCTTTTCCTTTTAGAGGTTCAGATCTTATCCTCATCAATGGTAACTTTGGAGACAGCATTTTTGGTGGAATGATAAAATCAAAAGCCTGATTTTCAGGAGTTTAAGAAGAGACTAAGGGTACCTATTGTAGATAGTCTTCTCAAGGAGTTTATTCACAAAGGGCAGAAGAGTTATAGGACAGTAGTTAGCAGGAATGGAAGGGTCCAATGAAGAGGATGAGAATGAAGAAGACAAGGGCATGGTTGCAGGTAAGGAAATGATGTGGTTTAGGGGTTCAGGGGTCCTGGGACCCCAAAATCACAACACACAGGTCCTGTTCAAAAGAGTTCGACTCAAGCCTTCTTTCTGCCAAAGACAAGGTTTATTAGAACACTGTCATATTGGTCAGACTCTTAAAGAGTATGAACATGGGTAAACAGTGGCTAGATTATAAGAATCTAAGCAGTGACTAGATTTTAGGAATCTGAGCACCTTAATGGAGATGAGATGGACCTTGTATACATTAAGACTATGGGAGGGATCTAGGAGTGGCCAAGTAGTCTACAAGGTAATAGAATTCCAGGGACCTGGACCAGCGGCCAAGGGAGAATGGAGCCTAGATAGGATTAAGTGTGGGAAATGGCCAGGGGCTAGAGGGCGGGCTAGGCTAGGTTAAGGGTAACAGAATTAGGAGATTGGGTGTAGCCACAAAGAAAGGCCAGTTGATGGGATTATAGCCTCAGGCAAAAACCAGAGATTTGGCCATGTGGGAAAGTCCAGGGTTTTTCCTCTTTGGGATTTAGCTCCCATCCTCATCAGAAGGAGCCAGTAAATGGAGAAATTGAATACTGAAGTGAGAGAGTAGGGATGACAGAAGCAGCTATCTGGGAGATGGAATGGAAAACAGTGACTTCATTACAATATGATAGTTGTTTAATGATGTCAATCTGAAATAAAGAATACTATCAAAGTAGCAAAAACCAGGATCTTTGATGGAGCTAAGGGGATCGAGATCCAGGGCTACCACACAGCAGCAGCACTAGAGTACAGGAAGTGAACAAGAGGGGTATAGGGGAGACAGGGGTAGATACATTTCTCAAGGGAAAATCCTTAGAAAGAACTGGGGGAGGCTTGGGAGTGGCAGCACAGGAAGGGTCAAGTGAAGTTTGTTTTACAAAATAGTCTTTCTTCAATTGGTTTCCATTGTCCTCCTTTTAACAGGTTTTGACTGCCCTGTGGCAATTCACTACTCTGAGATCTGCCCAAATCAGTTCTTAGTTACATGTAACAATGACCTTTGTGTGATATCAGACCTTTCAGATTGTTGACTGGAATGAGTTGGTGTCCATCTCACAAAAATCACCATTATAATTTGCAATCTTATGAGCAGTTTGATTGGAGAAATTAAAATCTTGATCCAGCTGAATGATCAATCAATAAATCAGCAAGTATTTATCAAGCACTCTCAATGTGCCAGGGACTTTGATAAGCACTAGGAATCAGAAAGGATGGGACTAGACTTGTGATTTCATTAGTACAGAGAATTCCTGTGGGCAGAGCCAAGATGGCTGAGTGAAAGCAGTGACTTGCTTGAGCTCTCCGCCATACCCCCTCCAAATACCCGTAAAAAAATGGCTCTAAACAAATTCTAAAGCAGCAGAACCCACAAAAAGACAGAGTAAAACAAATTTCCAGCCCAAAACAGCCTGTATGGTTTATCAGAAAGGTATATCACGTCAGGCGTTAAGAAGAGCGCAGTTCGGGTGGGGCCGCAGTGAACCTGGAGGAGGCCTCAGAGGAATGAATCACAGGCAGCTGTGGCGGTTTCCAGACTCCTCAATCCACGAATGCCAAAGACAACTTAGAAGATCAGTGGGAAAAGTCTGTTTTTTCGGTGACAGAAGAGCTAGGTCAGAGCCAGTTCCAGAGTGCAGGCGCCAAGGCAGTGGCTGTGTCCTGAGCTTCTGGCCCACAGACTGAGGGGGAATCAAGTGGCTGATCAGAGAGGGACTGCAGGGATCTCTTTGCCAGTGCTGAGGCAGGAATCTCTTGCTTTGCCCGGGGGTGGATCGGGGTCACAGCTCTGGGTGGTGGTCCTGGGGTGAGGAGGAGCGCAGGCCGCAGCAGTGGAGCTTGTAGTGGCAAAGGAGAGGAAACCCTCCTCATAGTTCCAAGAGAGAAAGGACTGCTTTTGGCCAGTCACTCAAAGACCAGGAAAAGAGTAAACACTTCGACCCTTATCGTACCACCTTGGAAGAACTGAAAATTTACAGGTCCCTAGAAGTATCTCTGAAAACAGCTATACAAACCCCAGAAGCTTGGTACAGTACATTCTCCACACTGGAAGCAGACTTTTACCTTAATGAAGAGTTTAAAACTCAAGTAGTTGCCTGGGATCATGAGCAAACCTCACAAAAAAGTCAGACTATATTATCTTACTTTGGTGACAAAGAAGATCAAAACATACAACCAGAAGAAGACAAGAATGTCAAAGCTCCCACATCCAAAGCCTCCAAGAAAAACATGAATCCGTTCCAGGCCTTGGAAGAGCTCAAAAGGGATTTTGAGAAGCAAGTAAGAGAAGTAGAGGAAAAACTGGGAAGAGAAATGAAAGTGATGCAAGAAAATCATGAAAAACAAGTCAACAGCTTGCTAAAGGAGACCTAAAAAAATATTGAAGAAAATAACACCTTAAAAAATAGCCTAACCCAAATGGCAAAAGAGGTCCAAAAAGCCAATGAGGAGAAGAATGCCCTAAAAAGCAAAATTGGCCAAATGGAAAAGGAAGTCCAAAAGCTTACTGAAGAAAATACTTCCTTAAAAATTAGAATAGAGCAATTGGAAGATAGTGACTTTATGAGAAATCACGACAGTAGAACAAATCCAAAAGAATGAAAAATTAGAAAACAATGTGAAATATCTCATTAGAAAAACAACTGACCTGGAAAATAGATCCAGGAGAGAAAATTTAAAAATTATTGGACTATCTGAAAGCCATGATCAAAAAAAGACATCATCTTTCAAGAAATTCTCAAGGAAAACTGCCCTGATATTTTAGAACCAGAGGGCAAAATAGAAATAGAAAGAATCCACCGATCTCCCCTGAAAGAGATCCCCAAAGGAGAATTCCTAATGAAACTCTCTAAAACTCTAAGTTGTCTGGTGCTCTCTCCAAAGTCAGACACTCAGTTCAGTATTTCTTTGTATGCGAACAGTTGCTGTGGAAATTTTTAGGTTCTAACATTAAAGTTTTTGAGGTGACTTTGTAAAATGGGTGATAGAAATGGAAGATTGAATCAGAACACAGAGTGTTTAGTCTAGAGTGGACAAATAGATACTTGTTTACTTACAGGAGAGACAAAACACTGTGCCTTGTTTGCCAATAAGTAACAGCTGTTCTGAAGGAATACAATCTTTGTCACCATTTTGAATCAAAACATCCTGATTTCAGCAAATTGGACACCAATGAAAACCAAATTAAAGCATCCAAATTGTTGAAAAATCTCAGTGGAGAACAATGGTTTTTCAAGAAATTAAACTCAGAAAATGAGGCAGCTAATAAGGTAAGTTTTCAGATTTCTAAAGAAATTGCTGCTGCTGGGAAGTCTTTTACTGAAGGTGACTTCATAAAGATTGCAGTTACTGGATTATGTCCCAATAAAAAAGTGTTTTTGAGAAATAGTTTAATCATTAATTATACCTTTACTTGGAAAGTGAGCCACTAAAAACCTATCTGGGCCCAAAGAAGTTTAGCCTGTTTTAATTTTGGTCCCTACCTACTGTCAGGTTGTGCAGGTCTGATCTAACTTTATTTTTGTAGCCCCAACTTGGCTGGTGCTGGGACTTGCCAAAAAGTCTTATTGGTTTTTCCAATAACCTAATCTCCTGTTGAAAGTCCAAGGTGGAAGTTAGTAAAGTTAATAGATCTTTTCCAGTGTTCTCTCTAACTATGGAGGGAAGTTTTTCTGGCTGGCTACATTTTCAATCTTTTAGCACAAACATGACAACAGTCATTTTATAAACACAGAGACACAGGCAAAATGATAAGACAACAAAGTGCACAAATCTAATTTTATTGTTGGCTTTTTAGGCTTATTTTGTTAAAACAATTTAGACCAGTCAAAATTCAGTGCTATCTTTAGACCCATGACTCCCAATTACCTTTACACTAGTGCTGGCGATATTTGTGTTCATCAGAATGACTGGACATCACCTAATTGCAAAAGATATCCATCTACCTTTCAGAAGACCTATACAAATGGTCTTGCCCCTAGAGCCAGCTCAAAGAGAAAAATTCGGGCTGCACCAAACAGTTTGATGAGTCTTCTCAGTCTCTCAGGAGACTGAGAAGGGACTTACCTACCTCCATCAGGGCTGGAACTTTCAGGAGAATAAGTCCTAGGTGCCTCGTCCCAGTGCTGGAGGGGGAAGGGTCCAATCTCTAGTCCCTTGTCCTAATGTAAGTCACAAAGCACCAAAATGTCAATTACTTTCAGTTTGATCTAAGAAAGATAAACAGGATTAGGTCATATCCACGTTTATTCTTTTCAAAGCAGGTAGCATGCCTGTGTCCATGCATGGGAGCCAGTTTGGAACTGAGCTCCCTTTGATGCTAGGGTGCATGGTTTATATGCCCTTTCAACACAGGCTGATGTCACTTTATCATCATTTCACCCAAGCTTGGGTGAGGGCTGACCAGAATAACGAAAGTCAATGCAATTTCATTATCAGTAATGTTCTTCTGAAGAAAAACTGAACTTAAAGTCAGGACTTTGGAAGAAGGAGGCTAGGGGAAGCTCTAACTTTCCAAGATATTGGTGATTTATAATCATTTTTCACACACTATAAATATTATCTTATTGACAAACAGTTAACTAAGAACTGAAGCTGATTTGATTTCCATTTTCTGGCCAATGAAGTCTGACCAGAGGTGGTCACTTCCAGCCTCCGATTATTTTGTAGATCTCCCAAACTCTCCCCTCCAGAGATTCCCAAGCTTTCTTGGAGGACTTTTGCTTGCTATGCAAAGCAATTTACCTTGTGAAACTGTAAGATACCTAACCCTTCCCACATGCAGGCCAGTCATTTTCCCTACCTTACCACCTCATATAAACCCTGTTCCCAGCTTCCTCCTAGGGTAGCCCAGTAGGTGCTATGTGGCACCCCAAACTACAACTCACATACCCTGATTAAAGATCTCATTTTGCTATATTGTCTGTTTTCTTTTAAATTCAAGTAGGTATTATTGTTATTATTATTCTGCAACTTATAGTCTTCAAGTGTTTCTTGTGGGCACTGAGCAGTTAAGGAACTTGGTTAGAGTCACACAGCTAGCACATGTCAGATACAATACCTGAACCCAATTTTCCTGCCTTCAAGCTATCTTTCATTTACTATACCATGTAACAATACAAGACCAAAAATGAAACATTGTCTGCCTTATATCTAGGCATGCTGGTAAATATTTAACAACCAGTTCCGGGGAGGGAGGGGAGAAATGTGTGCATGACACTTTTAAGTTTAATCTGAATTATTAACATTATCTCCATCACTCTTTGAAGTCTAGAAAATCAACAAAACAACAAATCAAGCCCTGATTTGTAGCATCCATCATTTTCTGAGCTGTAAATGCTCACAGAAGTTTTAACAATCTACTTTGGTTCTAGTTGGCTCCAAGACATACCAGCTATGTTTGTGTTCTATGAAGAACTGTCTTTTCATGCAGTCATTTCAGTATTGCAACAAAGTCAAAGAAGTGCTGGGACTCAGTAGGTGCCTAATAAGTACTTGTTTACTATCTGCTTGCCAGCCTGCCTGATTTCCATTGCAACTGTTCCATCTGTTCTTGAGTTGTAAAGAAAAAAATTCAGGAGGTTAGCCAATTATATCATTTTCTAATTTCTTTTCAAATAGCATAAAGCTCATCTTCAATTTCTAAATGGTTTCAGCAATAACATGATTAAAAGAAGATCAGAATATTTCAAAATGTTCTGTGATATTGCCAGACTTTATTCATTACTTAGATTAGAATGTGGGACTATGAATCAGCCTAAGAAATGTAAATCAGTATGGGGGGTATGGGGGAAAATGCGAAGAAGAAGAAGAAGAAGAAGAAGAAGAAGAAGAAGAAGAAGAAGAAGAAGAAGAAGAAGAAGAAGAGAAGAAGAAGAAGAAGAAGAAGAATAATCTTCCATATAAGAAATCTTTTCAAGTTTTATATATGGGGTAAGCAAAAAAAAATGCTATAATCTGGTTAAAATTTGCAATTACACTTGCCTTCAAGCTAATCCAACAATTCAGTAGTAATATACAACCTTGCAACTTGCAGAAACCAGAGTTTAGGAAAGGATTTTTACCCATTCATTCCTACCACTGGTACAACTCCCCATATGGCCTCTTAGTCCTTTCCCATCTCATTACTCTTCACCTAAGCATTTAATCTATAGTACTTTATGCTTCTCCCTGTTCTTAGACAGGGCAGAAGCTCTGGTGTCATTCAACAAATTTATTAAGCATTTACTAAGTAGTGTTATATCCCAAGCAGTAGGAATAAAAAGATAAAAGCAAAACAGTGGCCTGCTCTCAAGGAGCTTTCATTCTAATATGAGATACAGCATGTACATATATAAATTTGTATAGATAATATGCAAAAGAAATATGAAGTAATTTTGGAAGGGAGGGCACTAATAAGTGGGGGAAGGTGAGTTAGGAAAAGTTTCACTTACAATGTGGTGTTTGAGATAAGGTTTTAAGAAAACCAGGGGTTCCAAAAGGTAGAGGGGAAGAGGAAAAACATTTCAGGTATGAAGGGCAGCTATTGAAATATACTGAAATGGCAAAAAAGCTGATGTGAGACATGGTCAGGCATGCACTTTAAGAAAGTGGATTAGGGAGAAATGAGGCATGGAAACCAAATACAAGACTTGTAATAGTCTAAGCTACAGATGATAGAAACCTGAACTTAAACTGGTGCTATATATACTGAGAGAAAGGTTCATATGTGAAGGTAGTAAGGAGAAAAAAATAATAAGATATGATAACTGATTTGATATGTGAGGTGATGTGATGGAGAGAGTGCTGAGAATGATACTAAGGTGTGAAACTGGATGACTGGAATGATGGTGGTGGGTATGACGGTAACAGGGAAAGTTGAAAGAGAGGTGGGTTTAGCAGGGAAAGATAGTAAGTTCTCTTTTGGCCATGTTCAGTTTAGGGTGTCATCCAGTTCAAAATATCTAAGAAGCAGTTGGTGAAATGGGACTGAAAACTCTTGAGTGAGATGAGAGTTGGTGAGAGCAGATCAAGATTACCACGCTGGTAGGTAGAGAGGAAGAGGAGGGAAATCAAGACTGAAGTCACTGAAACACACAGAATAGGGGAAAGAACACTATGGAAATGGGTTCTGTGGCTCCTGTACAATTTAAGTACAGTTATGAAGCATTTTTTATGTAAAAGTGTGCAAGGTATTAGAGATACAAAAATGAAAAATTATACAGTCCTTGCCTTCAAAGATCTTATAATATGCATGGGACACAAGTAAGCATAATATGAGGCAATATGTGATGAGACAAAAGGAAGCTCTAGACCACATATTCTGGGAAAACTTTAAAAGGGAACATTACTTTTGCCTGGGAGATGAAGGAAAGTGGTACATGATTTGGGTCTCAGAGGAAAAGAAGTGGGAAGGGAATAAACATTTATTAAGTACCTACCATGTATCAGGATCTGTGCTAAGTGCTGGGGATACAAATATGAAAAAAGAAAGATTATTTTTGCCCTCAAGCAGCTTACAATCTGATGGGGAAGATAAAACACACAGTGTAAAGTGGGTTAGGGGCAGAAGGAAGGTACCCAACCCAGGGCCATGATGGAGAAATTAGTCAGTGAAGATCCAAGGTAGTAAAGCCAGATAAGAAATGAAATGTCTGAGCTGAGCTCTTTCCTGAAATGGAGGTTTGGAGTTCATGGACCCACTCTCCAATCAGAAAGGCAGATGGTGGTTTTGAGGTGGAGTCTGAAGGTACATAAAGATCTTGAGATGGTGGGATTATCCCAATTATGAGCTTTCTGGAGCTTGGTGGAGAAGTGAAGGAGAGCAGTTCCAAGGTAGTGCAGTCAAGTGAGAAACGAGGGATTTAACTTAAAACTTAACTTTGTTAAAGTCTAGGATTTGTATTTAGATGGATCTAGGATTTCATCAGTACAGGTTCTTCCTTTCTGGTATAGGTCATATCCTGTCATTCCTTCCTATCCTTTGTAATCCTTAGTAAGGGATTCAGCTAATGTCCTAGAGGTCTTCTGTTGGATCTTTTACGATTTCAAGGGTATTTTTGAAGGTAGCACTCTAACTGTTCATGTATCACCTCTCATTCTTGATATACTGACAGGTTCCCTCCTTTTCTAGTTATTCATATTCTTAATCATGTCTCTCATGCTAGCTAATAAGCTACAACCAATACAACCATCATGCATCTTTTGATTGCACTTTGGGTTACCTGACATGTCAAAATTTTCTAGATTGTGTTATTCCATTATTCATAGCCCTATATTATCAAGAAGAGAATATTATATGTGTATATGTATATATATATATATATACACACACACACACATACAATATCTCTATGCTATGATATTATATATTATATATATGCATATACCCATATAATATTCTCTAGCTATCTATGTTTATAAAAGGTAGAATTTTGAGGTAGCAAGTATATTGGGATCACAGAAAATGCTATGCACTTTCTCAAATTCTGTTTGGTTCAATCATACCATTTGTTTCAACTTTGGGCTGAGCTCATTTTCCACCTACAAAAATTTTAGGATAAAAAGTAGTGGAAAAGGGCAGGAGAGAGTCATATTTGTGTGTCTGTTATGAAAAGCTCTCAGAGACATGATGATGGGTAAATTTAAAATATGAAACTTTATGTTTACCTACAAGGGTGAACTAGCAAAAAAGCTTCAATTATGTCAGAATACAATAATTTTGAAGAGCTAATTTATATTTCTTTGGTCACTTTTTTTTTTTGCTAGATCTCAGATATAATTTGATAGATCATAAAACTTTGGTTATTGGGATCCCCTGGGTGAGGATCAATTCTAGATAATCAGTGTTTCTAGAGAGATTAGATTTTACCCCTTTAGCCTCAAGATCATCATTAGGAAAGTTAATTTTTATACTCTGTTGTTATCAAATGATGCTTTCAAAGCCTATTGGCATATTTGTTGATATGAGACATGGCTCAAGATTTTTGAACTTCTTAAATTCTTGTGTCTGCTTCTTATAGTTCTTCTGCCTCCTCCCTGTCAGGTTACCAGTTATCATGTCTTTGAGGGAAAACCTGAAGAGCTGTTCTGTAAATAAGAAGCCTGAGTTTTAGTTCATGAACTATGTGGTATTCATTTAGTGGCTCAGAGGCTTTTTTCTTTACTTCTTATATCTCTGTTT